ATCTTTTCACACATAAGGGGGATGCTTTTCCATGACCTGATTTTTCTTTTATCAGCATGTTAGTGACATGTTGCGTTACACAAGTCGTCTACAGTACTCAGTACGGTCACATGCTGCACAAGTTTGTCTCCAGGAGCTGAAGGAGAACAGAATCTGTCACCCCGAAACACGTCTTTTGGCATAAGGATTATTTTAGCTGTTTATTTTTAAGAAAGAGCAGGCAAGGGAGAGGCTCTGAAAACTGAGCAGAAGTTACTCACTTGTAAGAGACATGGACATTTGTGTGGGGAGCGTCCGTGTGTGCGGGGTCTCCCCGGCTGTCCCAGGAAGGGGGAGGTGACCTCATCTCTAGAAACTCTTATCGATGCAGAAGCAACGACTGAAATCTGCATAGTGACCTTGCCCGTCACGGTCAAGGCCAACCACAGCAACCTGGTTTCCTGCTCTCTCAGAACCTTCCCAGGGTGGGTGGTCATGTGGCCTGTTCTGGCCAGTGTGGCCTGAGGGAGAATTCGCAGCAGGGACTTCTGGGAGGTTTCTTTCTATAAAAGGGGACGGATATGGCTGGCCCTGCTTTTTCCTCCTTTCTTCATGCCTTGACCGTGGAGGTGTATGAAATGTTTGGAGTTCCAGCAGCCAGCTTGTAAACCATGAGGACAAAAGTCCAAGTCCACCTGCGACAGAAGACAAAGCGAAAAGACCGAGAGCGTCCAGGGCCCTGATGGGGACACTCCACCTCTGGAGTTCTGGTCGTACGAGGGAAATAAGCCCCTGCGCGTTTACTCCCGTTAATCGGGCGTTCTGCTGCTTGCATTTGAATTTATCCCCAGCTGGTACCCCGTTCTCAGCTGGCGTACCTTGGGCCAGGTGAGATTTGCACGGTGCCCGATGGCTCTGTCACGTACTACAACGTTCATCACAGGCCATGTCCTCAGTGAGGATTTTTGGTTGTAAGCAACAGGTCCCCAACCCTGCATGACAAAGTGAGACGACATGGTTTGGGGAACGAGATCGGGCAGCCCGCCGAAGCCACCGAGAGCTGTTCCTGGCAGGTGGGCAGGAGCCGAGGAAGCCGGCATCTGGCCTGGTGCACCCAGAGTGGTCCAGTTGTGGGGTCCCCTGCCTTTGTACCCTCTACTGTGGGGACCCAAACTCTCAGTGCCGCTGCTGCTGGTCCAAAGAATCTACTTCTTTCTGTCACTACCTCAAGACACAAGGTCTCAATGGGAACATCTGACCTGCCAGCATAGGCCGAGCTGCAGGGCTGGGGCAGGCAGTGGTCTTTGGCCCTTGCATGGAGCTTCTAACTAGCCAGATGCTTCAGGCACAAATTGATCAGGGCTCTGCAGGCTTCTCTCTGGTCTTCTCAGCTCTGCCCGTCCCAGCTGCCTGCTTTGTGCTTGCGTTGGCCTCTTTCAAGGTGGCAAAGTAACTGCGGATCTGCCCTCCCCTACACTGCGCCTAGGCTCAGGCGAGACTAGACCCAAAGTCCCCAGCGGTGCCGCTGATCTGCGGTCAGGGAAACTGTGTTCTGATTGGCCGACACCTGGACAGCCTGACCAATCAGCTGGGGGAGACAGTATTGACCTCCCTGCATATAGGGGCAGCTGGGGGCAGGCCCCGTGGTGGCCGATGTGGGGAGCATGGCTGATGGGAGGCCACCCCAACAGGCGGGAAGCGGCGACGGCAGTGGTTAAGAGCGCGGCTTCGCAGCCCGCCTGCCAGGTTGGGATCTTGGCTGTGCCACCGAACGGCTGCGCCGTGCCATCTCAGCGAGGTCACTCAGCCTCTTCGTGCCTCGGTTTCCTCACCCGTGTGATCTCGCAGTGCACAGGGGGAGCAAGACCTTTGGGCTGGGGCACCACGTGCAACGAATGCCAGGAGGACCGGGGAGCTGCCTGGGCCAGGCCGGGGCCCGCCCCCGCCCGCTGTCCTCCGTCGGGCGCGGGCCGCCGTGGCCACAGTGCCTCCGCTCTCCGGTCTCACAGCTGGCTCCTGTGGGCACCGCGGCATCCGCTCCGCCTTCTGCTTTGGGTGGCACGTCGCTTCTGCGTGTGGCTTTCCTGGGTGGTCCTGGCTCAGGGTCTCCCACACTGCTGGGTCCACGGTCTCTGATGACTTAACGGAACGGGCTCACGTGGCTGCTGGCCGGAGGCCTCTGTTTCTCGCAGGGCAGAAGTGACAGCTGCAGTGTCTCACGACCTAATCTCAGAAGCGCCATCGGCTCTGCCCTGTTCCACAGGTCACATAGCTGACCCCGGTGCAGTGTGGGAGGGGACCCCAGGGCATAGGACCAGGGGCCATCCCAGGAGCCCACCACAGGTGGCTGCTGCTTTGCAGGTGTCTCCTGGCTACATGTTTGTTACTAAGATGCCTCGGGTCCACTCAAAGCAGGTTGATGGCCACTCCTAGAAAGTAAAAGGTGGCTCTTTTGCTGGGATTCTTCTGGAATCCTTTCTCAGGAAGCCCTGCAGGCTCTGACGGCTTCGGCCTGTCCAGCATAGACACAGAATTCTCTTGGACACTTTCTCTGATTCTTTTTCCTGAAAACATTCATTCGCTGCAAGAAAGTCCCTTTGCGTGATGCTCACAGATCTTGCCTGTCTTGGCTGTTTAGGCAAAGGAATAAATGCACTGTCCCCACAGCCTCATCGGGCCCAGCGCCTCGCCCCGCCCCAGGCACCGCTGTCCTGCCAGCTGGGGATGGGGGAGAGAGGCCAGCTGCTGGGGACAGCAGCAGCCACTGCACAGTGAGTGGCCCAGAGCCACGCCGGGCGTGTCAGGGAGTCTGGGACAGCTTCCAGTGCTGGGGACCTGCTGCACCAGCCACCCAGAGTCAGGAGATACTGTCAGTTCTCGTTTCTGCCGGGCCCCTGTACAGGTCCTGCCCATTTTAAAGATAAATTAGATGCCTCAAAGTCAAGAACGTCAGGCCATGACTCAGAGGGTGGGGGAGGGGATGGAGCGGTGATTGATCGGCTCTTTAATGAGCATTTCGGGGGCTGCTCTGGCTGCTTCCTGCCAACTGCACAGTGCCCCTGGGCTAATGAGGGGCAGGTCGAGAGTGTAGTCCCCCCACCAACTTGGCACCCACCGGCCAGGCTGGCTAGTGCTTCGGGAACATCAGATGCAGTCTGCGCTGGGAAAGAGACGGGGCAGGCAGCAGGGGGCCGTCCTGGCGGGGAAGGTCTTGCTGGCATCCTCGCGTGTGGCTGTACAGTGCGGCGACAGCTCAGGGCTCCTGCACAGCCGGAGCTGAGCCTGGGTTTCTTGAGGAGCTGGCATGAGGCCCCCTCCCCTCCAACTGGGTCCTCCACGCAAACCTGCAAGGGCTTGGGGGGCCTGTCCTGCCTCTCACCGTGGGCGCCTTTTCCCACCAACACCAGCCATGACCACCCTGCAATGTTTGCAAGTCTGCCAGGTGAGAAGGAGGCCTCAGGTCGTCTGCACGTGCATGTCTGATTTCCGGAGGGCGGAGCCTCTTCCCAGCCGTCTGGGGCCGTCCTGGAGTGTCTGTTCACCGCCGCTGCCTCTTTCCTACCGAAGTGCTGCTGTCTTCCTCGTGGGTTGATAGAGGCCCCTCGATCCGCTGAGAAAATCAACGTTTCATCGTGTAAGACGCGTAGTGGCCGCGAGCCCACAGCACTGGCTCTGATGCAGGGCCGGGAGGGAGGACCTCGACAGGAAAGGGGGTCTACGGATCTATATGGATTTGTGGTCACTACGTTATTGTCAGTGAATACTTGGAGAGGGCCTCCTGGGAGCCAGGCAGGATGCAGCTGGGAACACAATGGGCAGAAAGAACTCCTGTCCCAGTTGAGGGAAACACCACGAAAGACGAAAGACAAGGACACTGTGGTGTGTTAGAGCTCGAGGAACAAAGCTCGGACTGGCACGGGGAGGAGATGGGAGAGGCGGGGTCCAAGTTCAAAGAGGAGGCCGGAGGCAAACATTCGAGCAAAGGTTTGAGAAGACGGGGACCGCTAGCGGCAAGGGGGAGGAGCATGCCCCAGAGGGTGAGGGCAGCTGGGCGCACTCCAGGAGCTGCAGGGAGGCCATGGGGCCATGCGATGGTGGTACGTGGGGCAGGGAGGTCAGATTAGGTGAGGCCTGCGAGTCCCCAGAAGGCTTTGGTGGGTGTTGGTTCTCTGGGTGCAGTGTGGCAGCTGGGCAAGGGCACCGGCAGGAGCAGAGCCACTCAGGTTTCCCCAGGTGTGAGAGGCAGAGCCCCGCCTGGCTGGGTCCCGCCCCCTCCCCCCTCCCCGCCCGCCCCGCGCAGGTTGGGGCATTTCTGACCTACACCCGGGCAGCCCTTGGGGATCAAAGGCCTCTCTGCAACAGGGAGGAGGGAGGCAGATGGGGGTGATAGGTTCCCCGGGTTCTTCCGGTCACAGATCCCTACGGCCGGGGGTGGGGCATTGTGCTCAGGGGCGAGGTGTGGCCTGCCCTGCCACTCCCATCGGTCTCCAAAGGGCTCCTTGCACCCGGCTAGGCTCTCCGCGTGGAGGGAGTGCGGGCCAACACCTGCTCGCCGGTCTGCTCACTCAGCCCATCCCCCTTCCTGGAGGCCCCACAGTCCTGGAGGGCTCCCCTGGGCTGCCCCGGGGCCTCGGTCTAGGTCAGCTGGGTCAGGGTCACGTGCAAGGGACTTCTCCGCGTTGAGGCTGCGGGTCCCCGCGGCCTTTGTGCACAGCCCCACCCGGCCGGACAGGGGCGGAGGCGGGGCCCGAGGGTAGGGCTGCGCGGGCGGCAGGGCCGCCGGACCCTGCGGGAGGCCGGGCTTCCCTGGGAAGGGGCCAGATCCTGTCCCGGAAGATCCCCGGCCCCCGCGCGCCCTTCAGAACCCTCGATAAGTTATCTCCGCGGAAGGGGCGGGCGTCGCAGACGCCTTGATTCTGTCCGTTATTGTCCCAAGCAGAGCTGACTAAGTGAAAATTGTCCCGAAGCCTTTCCTCTTAACCTTGGCGCTTGGCTGCCAGGTTGGGGGAGGGGTGGGGGGAGGGACGGAAGAGGACCCGCAGGGAGAGAGGAGGGAGGAGAGGGGAGGGGAGGGGAGGGGGGCAGCACGCCACGGGCAGTGAGGGCTGGCCCGCCCCGAACCGGGGAGCACGCGATCCGCCGCCGAGACTCTCCGCTGTCTCGCGCCCGCCTGAGTAGGGGGCCGACAGGGACCCCCGCCGTTGCGGCCTCGAGGGCCAGGGCCGCCTTTGTCTCTGGATAATGGGACTCCTCTTGCCTAATGTCGCAGCCAGATGTCGCCCACCGGGCTCCGAGGGGGCCGTCTCGTAAATTCTGCGTCTCCCTTTTGTAGTGAGCGTTTATTCTCTTACAATAATGACAGCTCCGCGGCAAAACAGGGCTTCCACCTCCCAGTCCTGGTTAGAAGTTCGGGGTGCCCAGGGTGCGTGGGATGGCAGGGCGTGAGGGGGTCCCCGCACTGCCGGAGAGGGGCAGCACGTTTGCGAGACCCTCGGGAGGTAGGGCCGGGGACGGATTTCAAAAGAAGACCCCGAGGAACCCGGGGACTCCCCTGCAGCAACCTCCAGGTGGCGAGGAATGGGTCGCGCGCGGCGCCCAGTGCGCACGCGCTTGTCCTCTCCCCGCCCACCGCACTCCCATTGGCAGCTGAGCTACCGCCCTCTGTGATTGGCCCGGAAGGCCGCACTCTCCGCCAATGGGTGCGCGGCTCCTGGCAGGCCTGGCCGCGCTGCTGCTTAGGTGGCTTGGGTTGTGGCCGGGTCGCATGCGGGCCGCCGGCGCAGGGCCCGCGTGGTCGCTCCTTAAACTCTCTCGCAGCCGCCCTTCAGGGAGGGAAATGAGGCCGCGAGTGAGCCCGCGATCCTGGTCGCCTCTGATAATGGACCTGTGCATAGACCCGCAGACTGCCCGACATGACCCCCACCCCACGCTGGCCGGGGACTGACCTGGGCGACCCTCGCAGGGTTTCGCAGTAGCCTCCTGCCATCTCTCTTTCCTCGCTGCTATCCTGCCATTCCAAAAAACAGGGCCTTAGAAAGCAAACAAGTTTACACTTAAGAAAACCAATAGTATTACCAAAAATGAGCGGCAGTCATCTTTAGGTGGTGGCATTGGAGGTAAATACAAAACGTTTTCTTTCTCAGTATTTTATAAATTATTTTCAACAAATATATAGTTTCTAACGGAAATGTTACTTTTTAAAATTAGCGCTATACTAAATAACAATAATGAAAATAAGAAGCGTTGGCGAGGATGTAGAGAAATTGGAACCTTCATGCAGTGCTGGTGCAGCCATTATGGAAAAGTTTGTCCTGTGATAGCATGGGTGGGCCTCGAAGACATTATGCTGAGTGACATAAGTGAGACATAAAAGGACAAATGCTGTATGATTCCAGTTATATGAAACATCTAGAATAGTCAAATTCATTGAGACAGAAGGTAGGTTAAGCTTAGGAAGACCCAGGGGGTGGAAGAAAGGGGCATATAACTTAAAGCGACAAGGTTTCAGTGGGATGATGAAAGTTCTGGAGATGGTGGTGATGTGACCTCTGCACAACACCGATTGTGCTTAATGTCACTGAACTGCATACTTAACAATGGTTTTCAAATAGTAAATTTTATGTTACACATATTTCACCACGTTAAAAAGTCAGTGATGTCATATAGCCAAACCATGGACTTGCGCGCTTTAAGTGGGTGAATTCTGTGGTATGGGAAGTAAGTTTCAACGAAGCCGTGAAAACATTTAAAGCCCTAAGACTGGAAACAGTGTCTCTTTGCTCCAAAAGTACTCTTGGACCGCACTTTTGTGTGGTAGGATTCAAGTTCAGAGGGCGGTGTCTATTACCTCTGGGTGGGCTAGGACGCCCTGCTGTACTAGGTAGGTGTGTGCAACTCCGCTACAGTTCTCCATCCCACCAAGTGAACGGTGAAGGGCGGGATGCCTCACTAGGAGGCAAGCATTCCCTACCAGAGGCCGTGGCCATTCCAGAGACATGGCCCGGGGCACACGACTTCACCGGATGGGGATAAAAACAGACCCAGTTCCTGCTCCGTGCCCCTCCCCCAGCTCCGAGCTGGAGCTGCCTCCGCGCCTCCCCAGCCCCGCCGTCTGGGAGCCCCAGGCAGACACCCAGCAGAATCACCCCAAGAGGCGTCTTACATTTTACTACCACAGGGAAGCTCCCTTTTTGGTTCCCAAGTTACCTGCGATCTAATCAGGAACACGGGGTGCCGGGAGAGTCGGGGGCGCTGGCCTACGGGATCCCAAGGCCGGGTGCGGGAGAGCCGCCAGCTTTCCCGCCCAGCGGGTGCGCCACCCACGCAGCCCCGCACTTCGGGTCCTTCGGGTCGGCCGCCTTCCCCGTCACGGCCCCTGGAGGGCGCCCCCGCACCGTTCCTACCCGCTCTCCGCTCCTCGGGGCCTGTGGCGGTTGATCTCTTGGTTCACGCCTCATGATAGACCCAAGGATGGGCGCGGCAGGCCGCAAAGGCGGCTTTAGACCTGGTCCCCAAACGCACCCAGCGGCGACATCTGCACCGCAGCTCGCGACGTCGGGACAGAAAGGCAGCAAAAGCTCAGTGGACGGAGTACCGCCTTTCCTTTTAGGGCCCTGCGCCTCCCTGTTACCTACTTCGGAGCTCAGTTCCTCTGCAAGCAAACGGGGGCTAGGCCTACCCTCCCCAGGGGGTGCCTGTAACTCGGCCTGAACACTCACGTCTCTTAAGACGCCTCATTAGGTGGCCCGACCCCACACCCTTTCCCCAACGCCTTAGTGCCTCAAAACTCTACCCAAGGAGGAGGCAGATGCTCTCAACAGGTGACGTACAAGATCAAAGAAAGCTAGCGTCACCCTCTCCTTGTCCCCTGCCCAGCAGCTGGGCCTGGGATTGAGGCTGCCTCAGGTGGCTGGGCTGGAAGGGGCAGCACCCACACTGAGGCCCTAGCCACGGGCTGTAGCATCTGCAAGGGGCTCCTCACCACCTCTCCTTGAAGTAGCCCCAGTCCCAGGCTCACTTCTGGAAGTGGAACCCTCAGGCACCCCCACCCCAGACGTTGGACATACCCTTTCTCAGCCTCTGCCCCTCAGTCCCGCGTGCCAGCAGACAAAGATTTACTGCTGACCACTCCGTCCTACGTGGGATTTTGCTGATGAGACGCCCGTCTGCCTTGGATGGCCCAGTAACAGTCACTTGACATCAAGGGACAGATGCAGTCTGGCTGTCCAGGGTGACAGTGAGATCATCTCTGCCATGGCATAGGATGAGCAAAGGCACTTTGGTGAGAGCCTGTGGCAAGGCTGGCGGCTGGGCTGGGAAGCTGGCCCCACTCACCGAAACCCTGCCGCCCCCAGCAATGGCCCAAAGATCCCCCATGAGGCCCCAGTTTTCCGGGGAAGGGCATCTGAGGAAGGAGCCTTGTCACTCTGGCTGGAGTCGGGGGACTGGGAGCAACTTGGGCAGAGGGGTGCTCCTGCAGCTGCTTGGGCTCCCAGCTGGGGGCCAGCCCTGGGTCAGCTGGGTCGCAGAGCAGCCGGCCCCTAAATCATTCTCGGGCTACCCAAGGGGGAGGCTTCCGCTCCAGGTGGGTGTCCGGCCGCCCTCGCTATCACCTCTGCAGTCTGTTTCCTCTTTCCTTGGCCCCCCGGGGCAGCCTCCTCTCTCGGGTGGAGCCTCCCAGCTTCCGGAGGCCTCCATGTGGGAGCAACAAAATGCTTTTGAAAAGGCGCTGCGGTGTCAGGCAGCGCTGGTGCCTCACAGAGCGGTGTGGCAGGCCGCCGAGAAGCCCAGAGCGCCTGGATCTTGGACAGAGAAATGGGTCTCGGCGTGGTGGGGTGGGCAGGCGCCAGTCCTCACGTTTCCTCCACGTCAGCCCCAATAACTCGCCCCAGCATCCCCGGGCCGGCTTTTGCTTTTGCCCCATGCCTCTCCGTCCCTCCATCCCTCCCTTCCTCACTGTGGCCAGCACAGAGGGTCCCGGCCCCCAAAGAGCAGGGGAAGGGGCACGTCCTGCTTCTCTTCACCCTGAACCCTTGCCGGGGAGACACCCCCTTGGCTCTGCTCCCCTCTAACTTCCCCTTCACTGGGCTTCCAGCCACCCTGATGGGGCCTGTTTAATTGATTCAATTTGTCCAACAGTAAAAACACTCCACAGATGTCAGCCTCCCAGCTCCCCACCCCCAGGGAGCCAGCAGACACCTGCCAAGGACCTGCGGCTGGGAGTCCTTCCAGGGGCCACTGCAGGCTGCAGGGGAGGCCTCTGACCCCCATGTGCTTGTTGGGAGCTGGAGTGGGCTGCCTGGCGCGTGGGAGCCGAGGAGCCACCTATGGCTGAGGGGCTGCTCCACGGACTACACAGAGAAGCACTCTGAATGCTGGGCACATTAAAACCTGTCTTTCCCAGGTCCAGGCTGGTGACCTTGAAGATGACTGTTATTTTGGTCAAGCTGCCATCCTTGGGCCACTGTCAAGGCTCCATCTTCTCTATCGACATCCTCTCCATCAACACTGGTGTGGGGGTTCCAGGTCAATGGGGGATGGGAGAGGCACTGTGAATTCCCTGGGGCTTAACTCCTTCCCCTGCAGGGACACCCCGCCATGTCTTGATGGTCTCCTTGATGGCCACCTGATGGAAGGAAAGGAGCTGAGCCTGGGGCACCAGCTGGCAGGGGACCTCAGGCCCGAGTCTAGAGGTCAGGAGCCCAGTGTCCACAGCCTGGGCAGCACTGCAGCCTGTCTGCCTGGGGGGTGGGGGTGGGGTGCGGCCACCACCTCACTGGGACATGCTTCCAGGAGGTTTCTGGCGGGGAAGGTGGTGGGCTGGGAGAAAGGCAGACCAGACTTGAACCCCTGACCCCCTAGCCCAGCCCCCGGCTCCTGGGGCCACCACTCTGCACCCCAGAGTGAGGGCACTGGGAAGAGTGGCTGAAGAAGGAGGATGATTTAGGAGTTTGCACAGCTGGCCTGGCGGAGGCAGGGCTTCTGCCCCACCCCCCACCCAGCCCCATCTGGGACAAGAACCCCCAGCCATGATTAGAAAAGGTCCGTCACTCTGAATATGATCTCTGGTTAGCAAAATCCGGACACCTAGTCTCGCCTCCTAGGTGATCTCCCACGTGCTCGCTTTCAGGAGAAATCAGAGCTTTTCTACCACAGATTGGTTATATTTTAAAGAGTCCGAGCGCTTTTTTTATGGGCTCTTCTCCACAATTCCCAAGAGGCATGGAGAAAGCGAGGGGAAGGCAACAGAGGGCTGAGAACTGAAAGGGCTTCCGCAAGGTCAGCCTCTACGCAGGCCGCGTTTCAGGCCGTTGATTCTTCCTCCGCTGTGTGAGCAAGTTGGGGGTGAGGGGGTGGGGAGGGGGCGGCAAGAAGGGCCAGGGTCCCAAGCGGCCACCTAGGAGGGACTTCGGACGCGGCCAACATGCTCGCCACAGGGTTCCGGGCGGCCCTGACCGGGGCTCCGGGGTGGGGGCTGCTGCTGTGCGGGGGAGGAAAGAACAAAAGGGAGCCCCGCCCCTTCCCGGGGCTGGCTTGCGGCGGCCAATCGGCGCGACCGCTGCCGACAACGCTCTCTGATTGGCTGCGCGGCAGCCAATCGGGCTCAGGGGCCGAGAGCCCGTGTGGTCCCACGTGGGGCGGCGCGCGGCTGTTCGCCGTGGTTCGCAGGCCGCGGTGGGCGGGGTGTGCGGATACCGGGAGCACCACGGGGACGAGACGGCGTCCTGCGCCCCGCCCCGGCGCTCCCGGGACCCCCTCCCCGAGGAACACCTCGCTGCCCCCAGCCGTCCCAGAGGGTCCCCGAGCGCCCTTTGCACGAGAAGCGCTGCGCTATCTTTGGTCATCTGTTCTGCCCCCATCGCTCACACGGAGGTGAAGCGACAGCCTCAAAGCCCCCAGCCTGTTAGAATGGAGGCCGCTGGGGGCCGGGCTTCCTGATTCCGCCGCTCAGCGCGTCCCCGCCCCACCCGGGGGCCTGGGCGCGGGGCTCCTCACCCACCGCTGTACCCCCTGAAGGCTATCCTCGGGAACGGGGGAAAAAGGAGCTTGTCACCAGGGTTTGGCCGGGAGGCTGAAGCAGGTCAGGTGGAAGGAAGGAAGAGACAGTCTGCCGGGTCTGCTGTGGGGGGCTGCAGGGGCCAGACTGGGTCACCTCATTCATTGATTGGGTCAGTTATTGACGCCTTCTACTGTCCTGGGGATACAAACAGCTCGGGCCTCGGGGGGAAGCTTCTCCCTAGTTTTCATTAGTTTCCCCTCCCAGCTACTCCAAGTGGAACGTTCAGGAATGTTCTTTGATATGGGTAACTGACACGGTCTTACATTTTTATGGCACCCTCAGACAGGGCATTTGAGGAGAGTTGAATAAATGGAAAATGAATGAATTAAAATAGAAATGGTGCGGTGCCCAGGGCCAGCAACAAAGGGGAGCTATGACCACCCCTGACCTGAAGGGCAGCTGTAGCCCCTAGGAGAGACCCACCCACCAGAGCTGTGACCTTGGGGAGAGGGACACAGCAACGTGGGAGGGAGGAGCCTGGCCATTGATATACTGACCTCGCTTTCCTCCCGCAAGTTCTTTTTTCTTTTCTTTTTCTTTCTTTCTTTTCTTTTTTCTTTTTTTTGTCTGCAGATTCCTCACTGGCTGAATCTAGCCCCAACTGGGGCAAAGGAGTCCCCATGGATACTGTGTCTACGGGTCGGCCTCAGGCCGGGGGGCAGGGCAGTTGGCCCAGTGCCGCGCTAAGGTGTCCAGCATCTGTTCTGAAGTGCGAATCAAAGCATCCTAGACACGTTGCTGTTTCCTTCGTGCGCAGTGACGCACCCACATAAGCGAAACCCGCGTGCGTCCTATGCACAGGCAACCTTGAAATGGGCGGGGCAGGGCTCGGCTGGGCCCCTTCCTCCTGCAGAACCACCCGGACCTGTCCGGGAGCGGGAAGACAGCCTGCAAGTGGCGATGCAAGCGGTGGGCAGAGCAGTGGATCAGCAGCCTGACTGTCAGCACATGTAGGCCACAGAGTTCAGGTGCCTCCTCCTCCAGGAGGCCCTTCTGGATGCTCTGTTTTTATTAAACAGTTGTAACAGGGCACGGTTGGAACTGTCAGTTCCCAGGGTGGGGACCGATCTCGTTCACCATTGTCCATCACGGTGCCTGCATCCACCAGGCGCTCAGCACACACCGGAGGGTGAACGGACCATGCATTTTGCTTGGTGAGGCCAGAGCAGGACTTCTGTCCAAGGCAAGGGGTATTTATTCACTCGACAAACTTTTCCAGGGGGGCCTTTCTCTACTCGGCCAGGGCTCAGCCTGAAGAAGCCCCAAGGAGGAAAGGACGTGTTCCAGGTGTGAAGTTCGTGGTTCAACACCAGAGGCATACGGAGTTTCAGGGCGACACAGCCCGAGCCTAGGACCTTCGAGAGTTCAGGGGGGAGAGGACTCCTGGCAGAATGGGCATGAGAGAAGGAGGTGGCACTTAAGGTGGCTTCGAAGGGTAGGTAGGAGTTGGAGCAGTGGAAAAGGGAAGACAGGCAAGGGAGGTGAAGCGACAGAGTCCACGGACGCGGCATCGGGGACTCGGCTGTGCGCATGCCCCACCTCTGTCCCCGGAGTCGGGGGCCTGGGCGGGCACCCCTCCCCCTTGATCCCCCACGTGTCACACGGTGGGAACGATAGGATTGTGGGGCAGGTAGAAAGAGCATGTATGTGATGTGCTTAGCGCGGTTTTGTACTTGATAATTACGGGCTCAGGAAATACACAGGAGCTTCATTATTAGCATTCGCTGCAGTCGGGGAGCTGGTGGTGGGTCTGGTGGGATTCTAGGAGCCTGTGGGGCGGGCAGGGAGGGTGTAGAGAGTGGAGATGGCTCTCAGGGACAGTACGGTTGCCTATCATTCCTCCATCACGTGCGCAGATGTCACTAATCCATCAGACATTCTTTCCTGCAGAGCCCAGAGGTAGCCTCTGAGTCCTTCCAGCACATTCTCCAGGCAGCCTTCTTATCAGCCACAGCTGGCACATAGATGACCCTGTTTGCCAGCCTTGACTCAACCGGCATCAGAAGTTGGGATTTGACGGCCTAGAATAGGAAGCGCCAATTCTAGACCTGGTCTCTTTGAGCCTAAGCCATCCCCAGTCCTGTTTCCCATGGGGAAGAAAGGCAGGTGGCTGGATAGCACTTAGGAGCAGCAGCTGGCGTGAGGGGTCGGACGTGTAGGTGTCCTTGGAGCTGTCACTGTCGGAACAGCCCGACTCAAGGCCAGGGAGGCCAGTGTGGTGGCGCCTGTCAAGGTTGAAGAGACTGGACCAGAGGAGCAAAGAGCACATGGCTGCTGGGACCACAAGGGGACACCACAGAGCCCGGAGTCTCAGGGCAGGAAGGCGAGTGCGGCCTGAATAGAAAAGGGAGTGGAGGAGGAGGAATAGGGCTGGTCTGGGGGTTACAGTGACCAGCCATCCTACAGACCCTCACTCTGCACCCCCACTTTGTAAATTCATCTAAAAACTGGAGGCGAAGGCACCGATCTCAAGCTTACAGGTGGGTGGTTTCTCTGCTCCGTACACCCCTGTATCCACCACCTCCATCCAGATGCCTTCCAGCCCCCAGAGGCTCCCTCGTGCCCACTCCGATCCCAAACCCCAGAAGAGCGCCCGTGTGCACCCCCGGAGACTAGTTATGCCTGATCTTTGTATTCATATTAACAGGCCACACTGACTGTCCTTCAGGCTGGCCTCTTTCGCTCAATATAAGCTATGCGACTCACGTGTCCTTGTCCCTGTCCGTTCTGTGGTTCCGCCACACTGCGTTCTGTCGTATGGGGCACCACAGTTTATCTCCTGTTGAGGGACATGTGGGCTAACTCCAAAGTTTACCAGTAGTACTGCCAGGAACATTCTAGTGCATGTCTTCTGGGTTTGTGCCCAGTAGTGTGGGTCCTGGTGAAGCCAAGCTTCAGTTTTAGTAGGTACCATCGGTTCTCCAAGTGGCAGTCCTGACCGCCACTGTCCCTGGTAGCGTGGGTGGATTCTGGTGGCTCCACACTTGCAGTCGTCTGCCCTATACTGTTAGCTGTTTGGGGTTGGGATGTACCCCATCTCTAGATCATCCCAGTGCCCCTGTGAATGGAGCGCCTACTTGGGGGCGGGTGTCATCACTGTTTGCAGGACAGAAAGAGAGAGCGTCCGAGAAGCGGGACCGCACCACCAGCAGGCGCTGGAACTGCTTCTGGAATCCAGTCGCAGTCCTCATGCCTGAGACCAGAACTCAGGAGATGGCATGTGGCCGGCGTGGAGAGCTGGAAGGGCCTGGGGCCTGGAGCTCCAGGGCAAGGTCAGGACAGCAGAGAGAGCTGGGGCCCCTGAGCACTGGGGGAGGGCAGGGGAGGAGGGCGGGAGAGCAGGGCTGTGGGGGCAGAGGAAGGGTCGGGGGAGGGCGGCGGTGTCAGCGGGGTCAGCATCCACGTGGCAGGGGTTTGCTGGTGCACACTTGTGCCCAGGCTCCGAGCTGGGTGCAGGGACACAATGGTGACCACACACAGGCAGGAGCCCTGCCTTCATGTTAATGACAGTCCTGGGAAGCAGGCAATCAAGGAAATCCACAATAAATACATAATTACAGGCTGTGATGAGCTCTCCGTGCTGTGAGAGGGCCTGACCTGGCAGCGACATCAGGACTGAGAATGAACCAGCCTCAGAGATCACAATGCCCCAGGACTCGGTGTCCCAGAAGAATGGGGGTGGGGGTCTGGGGGGGAATGGAGACAGGTGGAAAGGAAGTCCTCGGCATGGACAGGCAGGGAGCAGCAAAAGGAGAACCATAAGACACTAGGGCTGCGCAGAACCATACCCAGCGCTCAAGGTCGGATGTCGTCTCCACAGGAAGTCCGAATAACAGCGACTTAAACAAGGCAGACATTTCTTTCTCTTTCGTATAAAGCCTCCAGGCAGCTTTGGAGGCTCCACAGTCATCAGGCACCAGGCTCCCTCTGTCTTGTTTGCTCCACTGTCCTCATATGTGGCTTCCACCTCATGATCCCAGACAGCTGCTGAGGCTCCAGCTATCACAGGTACATTTCGGACAGCAGGAAGGGAGAAGGATCAAAGAAGAGCACAGCTCCTTGAAGGACACTTCCCATTGCACGTGACGTTGCTGTTTATCCTCACTGGCCGGAACTCGGTCCTAGGGTTGCATCTAGCTGCAAGGGAAGCTGGGAGGTGCGATCTTGACTCTGGAGAGCTGGGGCCCAGTAACAGGTGCGGGTTCTGTTACTGAGGAAGGAGAACATGTCAGGGCAACACAGTCTCTGCCCCTCCCGGGAACTGGAAAGGAGATGATGCCGAAGGCAAGAAATGCCCAGCAGACTGGGCTCTGTCCCTCCCTGAAGATTCTGTCATTACTCAGCACCCAGTGGCTTGGAGGCCACGAGGTGTGCAGAGCACGCTGGAGTCTACTAGTGTCACACGCCTTCTCATTTTCACAGACCAGGAAAGCAGGTCTTAGGGAGGCAAGTAGCCTGTCCAAGGGCCATAGGTAGGAGACAGGCCAAGAGGAACAAGTCCTGCTAAGAACTTTCCAGAACTTCCACCTATCTGGTGGGGGTGCTCAAGATCACGAGGCGCCCATCATTCCCTTCCTTGAGACGATCCTGTCTCCTGGCCTCTCACTGAGCAAGGCTGTCGCCGCCACTCACAGGAGGAGCCATAAACCCCTCCCATTCTCCCTGGGGCCAACCTGGGATATGTTTCCAGACCATTGCCATACACATCTAAGTGCGTCACGCACACACATGCGGAATGGGGTGTACACACACGCTCATTCGGCACCGTGCCCCGCACCCCTCCGTCTGCACCATGGCTCCCCACAGCCTCGGCACGGGGCCGGTGGGCGAGCCAGCTCCTGGTGAGCATGTAGGTTCCTCCGGCTTTTTGCTGCATGTGTTGGCATTGGAATACTTGTGCAGTGGCTTTGGGGGCTGGGTCCACAGAAATTCCATTGCCCTTGCTCCCTCGTCAGGCCTCCATCCGCCCCACTGGCCACCAGAGTGTACGCAGGACCCCAGAGCCTGGGGCAGCTGGGGTATGGACTGTCATACTCTTGGCTGTACCCGTGCTCAGAAATGAGTTCCTTGGTTGCAGGTGCTGGTGGGGTTCCTTGAACAAGTCGAAGGGTTCACTAGGCCCATGACACATCCAAATCTAGAGTGGCGTCTGTTTCTGGTAAGGACAAACTATTGCCCGTGCCATGATGGACAGGCCTGAAGGAATCAAACAGCCGTAGCACGGCTGCCTGGTTCCCTCGAGGCACGGAACCACAGCTGCGATTTGAGGTCTGTGGTTGCTGCTGACAACTGGGTACTCGTCAGTGGGGATCCGGGTCAGCTGGGGAGGGAAGGTCCACAGTGGGGTCCTCAAGCATATCCTTCCTGCCCGCCCATTGGGATCTTTGCATGAGCCATGGAGGAAGCCCAAGGCTGGCTGGGAGGAGGGGACATGATGGGCAGCCCTGGGGTGAGTCATGTGCCCACCTGTCTATTAAGAGCTCTTCTGCAGTGAACTCTGATGACACTCACATGGGCAAGCAGATGCTCGGCCTCCGGGCACAGTCCATGATGTCTGTCCGCTTCTCCTCTTTGAACCACCTTCCTGACTCATCTGTCATTTGTTCCTTCCAAGTCTTTTGTGCCTGGCCAGATGGCCAGGCACTGCCCAGGATTCTGTGTAGACCCTAGCCTTGGGCACCTAGACTTCTGCTCAATGTTACGCACCTGGGACGACTGTCCCGAAAGGCAGGGCTGCAAGTGCACCATGGTCCGCTTAGGGCTGGGGTAGCCCCGCAAAAGGCCATCTGTGAACCCTGGCTGCTTCTTCCTTGCTTAGATCAGGGAGCTTCATGGAGGCCATGGGTTTGTGGCAGCAGTGGGCTCCAGCAGCCTCCTGTGCCTCCAGGGCCTGCCCGGCCCCTTCTGGGTGCATCCTTTCTGCCCCGCGAAGGACAGCTGCTGGGTGCGCCTGCTTACGGACAGGTTTTGTTGTCCAGTTTATGTTATGTTGGACAATTTGGTTTCAAGGTCAACTAATTGTTCCACAGTAGCAAATAAATATAGGATATTGAGTTAAATTTAAATTTCAGATGAGGTTATTCACTGTTTATCTGAAACTCAAATTAAACGGGCTGTCCTGTATTCTACCTGGTGAAAACACAGAGGTCAGGGGTTCAGTTCGGCAGGAGCTCAGTACCAAGCCAGGAGAGACAGGCTTCACCGGTGCTTCTTAGGGAGTCAGCCACTGTAGTGGGCTCACAACTCTCACCTGGCTACCTAGGTGGGGTCGCGCTCATTTCAAAATGACCTGAGAACCCAGGGGTAGACCCTGATTGGCTCAGCTTGGGTCACGTGCCCTCCCCAAAGCCAATCCCTGTGGTGGAGAAGGCAGAGGTTCTCCGATTGGCTCAGCCAGGGTCATGTGACCACAGGGTGGCATGGCGCTCACTCAGCCTCGCGTGCGGGGTGGGTCTTCTGGACGCGCGTCCGGGAGAGATTCTTCCGGCTGCCGCTCTGGCTTCTGAGCGCCCGGGAAAGTGGCCTGGGGCAGCCTTCGAGGGCGTTGGTTTTCCGCAGGCACCAGTGGCCACAAACGCCCCATGGGTTCGGGGCGTCGTGGTTTCCCTGTCGACCCGCAGAATTCTCCTGCGGCCTAAGCGGAGGCTGCCTCCGAGCTGGCTTGTCCTTGGCAATGGGCTCGCATCCTTTTCCTGTAGGGTCCCTCGAACCCGATGCCAGCCTTCATCCAGCGGGCACCCCAAGAGGGGAGCCGTTGCGGGGCCGCGGGGAGCCCCAGGCCCAGGATGCTTGCCCAGCATCAGAGGGGTGGCTGAAGGGCCCGGTGGTGAAAAATATAATTACCCTGTCAGTGCGGAGTCTCCCGACACTCGCTCTGCCCCCCGCCGCCCCGAGTCTGTTTCTCATAAGTGAAAACAGACTTCCTGACAAGGGGCGAGATCTTAAACTTGTTCAAAGGCTCCCAAACAGAAGGGGTGGTTTTAACTTTCCCCTCGCAGCAAGCCAGACTGTGAGGGGGCCTCTAGACCTGAGGGGCCCCGAGGCTCCTGGCTGCTGGGAACCTTAGGGGACAGGGGCTGTGGAGGCCTCGGGCTTATTCACTCCCACTGCCAGCCGGAGCACTTTTTCTCAGTGGCGCTCCAGTCCCAACCCCCATGCTGCCCAGGGCAGTGGACCCAGGCCTGGAGGTTGTTCTGTGTCACTGTTTTCTGAGGTGATGCCATGGAAGATGGTGCCCACCTGGCAAACCCCTCGTCCTGCCTTTCTCCGAGAGCTGCCTTCTTTGGATTCAACCAGTGAAAAGAAGCAGCTGCGGATGCCCCCAGAAGTGTTTTCTCCAGGGCCCGAGTTTCTTGGGAGAGCAGCACTGCTCCTGTCCTCGGGGCCCTGGACCAGAATGTCTTGGCCTGCTGTCGCTCTGTGGTGACGAGGAGCCCAGCCTGGCGCCTTCCGGCACAGCTTCTGCCTTTGAGCTCTGGGTTCGCTGGATGCTACGGTCTCTGTGTCGGGCTTCTTCCCTGCTGGGCTCTCAGCTCCTGAAGGACAGGGACGTCATGTAATCCCCTCGGGACTGCATCCTGGTGCCGGGCAGAGGGCCCAGCACACAGTAGGTCTTCAGTATATACTCGTCGAAATGGCAGACAGATGGATAGAAGAATGGACAGACAGAAACACGTTGTGTCCCTACCAGGAACAGGTCACATCTGCAGGGGCTGAGAAAAGACGTGGGCCGTGCCCGTTTCTGATGGGCAGGACAGCTGGTTCCAGAATGTTTGGAATAGGCTGAAGGCATCGGCAGCTTCTCCGCCAGCCCTGGGTGTCATCCAGGAGCCACTGTCCCTGTTCATTGATGGAGCCAGGACTGGTGAAGGTTTTTTCTGAACAACAGGTTTTGGCCTGGCGAGCCCGGAGTCCTGGGTCGGTCCCTCACCTTTTCCTTCTGCAGATGGATGTGGTCTGCCTCAGGAGCCTGCAAAATCAGACAGGAAACACTCATGCAAGTGGGCCCCACTAACTCCGAAGTTGGGGCGGCCTGTGATGGAGAGCACCTGAAAACTCAATCTGAGCAAGTGAAGACGGGCCGAAGACGTTGTCAGGGGAATGCGGAATCTAAGGACACAAAGGGTGACCCAGGTTCAGAGCGGTGGCAAGCTCCTTACAAGTCGTTGTCTGGGCCGTGAGGGCTGGCTCCCTCTCAG